GTGCACTTTTTTTTTTTTTGGTGTCTATAATAATAACAAATCTAAAAGGTCTTGCGTATTTGTAAAAATGTTAAAGCACAAAACGCAAAACTTACTTCACATTTTTTATTCCGATTCTTTTATTTGTTTATTTATAAACAAGGATCAAAGCGATTTAATTAATTTACTTTTTCAGTAATAACTAAGTTTATATGTACATTTCAAGATATCTTAATAATCTCTAAAATATTACGTTTTGTATTCCTCTTTAAAATCATCAACATGAGCAATTTGTTAAAAATCTATGAATTTAACTAGATTTTACTGGTAGTTTTACCTCGTTGACTAATGAAAAAGTATTTAAATAAATGCGAATTAATTTTTATGAGGCAAAAGTAGATATTTCCAATAAACCACGTAAATAAATTCTAAGAAACGTTGCGCCATCTGTGGAGTAGGTTTTTAAGTATTAGTTATAATTGTTGAACTTTTTTCTCTACTCTCTAAGTTGCATAAACATGTAAAAGATTTGGTTATAATCATGCTCAGTAAGTTTTTGGAATGTAGTGTCTTAATATACAATATGATCACAATTAGGGCATTTCGTTTCATGATTTAAGCTTTGTGGTGTGATTTTGAGTGCAATTATGATAATGAAAGAAACAAAAAATGAGAATAAAATATATATTAAACCCCATTTTGCAACTAAAAGATGACAACGGGCATGTTCAAAAATAAAGCTTTATAATTTATTTAAAAAAGCAGTTCGAATATGGTACAGTAAGTATGACAATCATCTGAAATGCTACTAAAATCACTGGACATTACTAAACACCAGGTTATAAATAGAAACTATATCTCAACGCTAAAGTGAAATTCAGTTTAAAATTTACAATAACTAACCGTCTCACCTCTCAGGTTATCCAATGATCAGTCAATGCTGGCATTTTTTCTCTCTTTTTCTCATGATTTTTAACGAGAGATGTTAGTTTTTCAAATTATTGTTAATTAATTCATTTAGGATTTTGAATCATGGGGACGTAGAAATAATATTCACATCAGTATTATGTTGGCAACAAAACATTGCTTAGGAAGGCTTTCATCTAATACCAGAAGTCAGTAGATGAACCTATAAAAAAAGACATATCATAAAAAGGCCCAACAAAAGTAACTGAGGGCATAAGTAATTGCAGGTGTTTCGTTTTCGCATTCCTCTTAATCTATAAAGTATCCTGAATCAGATGCGTTTAAAAATACTTTTCAAATGTGTTTTAGATTGCCATAACTTATTCGAAGAGTTCGTATTGAACGAAATACTTCCTGATCAATAATTTGTGACAGATAAAAGATGAATCTGAAATGTATATTTTTAAACACATCTTTAATTTTTTTTCAAAATCATAATGGGGTAATTAAGAGGAATGTGTTGAGTATGGTTCAATTCTCCTTTGTTAAACCAAAAAGCCTTATTATTTCGTCAGCGTAAGACGTGTGCCGATATCTAAACGTGTCCCATCGATAATCAGAATCTATTCTGATGTTCCTTATGCTCACATGTTTAATGAATAAATGGGGCCAATATTTACGTAATCAAGTTAGAGTAATATATATTTACATAACGTTATGTTGCCCGATGCCACAAGCTCTTAAACTGAGTTTCATGTTGGAATTTTTAACTAATCAATTGCTTGTTTGTTTTAAATTTCGCGCAAAGCTACACGAGGGCTATCTGCGGTAGCCGTCCCTAAGTTTGCAGCGTAAGACCAAAGGGAATGCAGCTAGTCATCACCATCCACCGCCAACTCTTGGGCTACTTTTTTACCAACGAATAGTGGGATTGACCGTCACATTATAACGCCCTCACAGCTGAAAGGGCGAGCATGTTTGGTGGGACAGGGATTAACTAATCAAACCTACATTACTTATTATAAATATCTCGGCGACGCCTTTTAATTAAATTTTGAGTATATAGAAGTAATATGTAATCAACGTATACTTATATTATAAACAAAATGAAATATTTTGAGTTTAAAAAGCAATTTATAAGAAATAATACTTAAAATCACACGACATAGAGTACCGACAACTGTGTTAGGAAATATACTGAGAATATCTTAAAATAAACTTCAAAAACATTTGTGAAAAAATTCTACACCTCATAGTTAACGCAAGTGTATGGAATAAACGATTTTTGTTAAACTATAAACGACATTGGAACTATTTCTTTATTTAATAAAAAATTTAATACCAATAATTCAGTGAGATAAATTGCGAATATTTTTAGCAAGAAAAAGATTTCTACTTGAATACAGTATAAAGAGACTAGAAACATTATTATTGTTACGACAGCGGAAATCAAGTGACGCTGGTAACACGTGATGAGTTTCTAGAAGGATCATGAAGGCACGAGTGTTTGCCAGACGCCCTCTATTTTAATATATAAGCCCGGCAAATAAAGCGGAGATAATAGTTGCAGATAGACAGATATGGAAACAGATAATTGAGTCAACTGAGTGGTAGTGACCGTAAACAAAATTCGTGAATCGTTGTGAATTATAGCGTGTGTTTAAGTTAAAGTGACCTTGGAAATTCTGTGTATTGCAAAGTTGTACTGAGAAAGAATAAACTAGTTTTATTTAAGAAAGGACTTGTAGCGCTGAAGTTTCTCGGGAAGAATATATACCGGAAATTAACAAACGACCAGATATGTAACATTATATTATAATCAGATATAAAATTTGATTCTTTCTCGCTCACTAAATATAGACTTCTACCGATTCTTTTAACGTGGATCTATATTATATCCGGGTTCACTCATTAGTTCTTACAATCCCATTCACTTTCAGCTTTGACCTTGTCTTTACAAATGTTTACCGTAGTGCATAAATTTTTATTAATATTCAAGTGAATATTTGTCACCATATCTGTGTTTACTGTAGGAATTTGCTTAAGATAAAATGGGTATATTCAATGTTTAAAAAAATACGTTGTTATTCGTAACTTCTGCAGTTATATATGGATCTGATGCTTATGTTCTCATGTCTTCACTCCTATCCGAAAATAATACATCAAAGCCCATATATATTCATATTGAATTAACAAATCATAATTTGATAGCCTTATTTGTTCGCAAACATCCATTGTGATGTCTAGGAAAGTTTCCAGACCTCATGCAACAGAAAAATTGGTCAGAGCCAGGTTCACCTTCAAAATAACCTAGGAAGTTCATGCCTTAATTTTTTAACCCTCATAATCATGGGTAGGATGACAAATGACAATTTCAGTTAGTGTCTTCTGTTAACATACTGTTTGGCATTTATAGGCAATCATTAACTTGGCTTTTAATAGATGACATAGAGATACTCCAATTATCATTCTAATGATCTTCTTACTTGGATGTTTTGTTTGTTTGTTTTGAATTTCGCGCAAAGCTACACGAGGGCTATCTGCATTAGCCGTCCCTAATTTAGCAAAGACTAGAGGGAAAGCAGCTAGTCATCACAACCCACCGCCAACTCTTGGGCTACTCTTTTACCAACGAATAATGGGATTGTTCGTCACATTATAACGCCCCCACGGCTGAAAGGGCGAGCATGTTTGGTGTGACGGGGATTCGAACCCGCGATTCTCAGACTGCGAGTCGAGCGCCCTAACCACCTGTGCTATTACTTGGATGAGATTATAAACAAGAAAACTAAGAAATTTCACTAAAAATTATAAATGATGATAATGCAAATGGAGTATTTATATTACAGCCAATCAGCAGCATCTTACCTCCCACCATCTACGCTAAAGGATTAACTGTCACTCTTATAACGTAACCACAGCTCTACCATATGGCCAACCCGCGCCAACTTTCGATTAAGGAAAAATGCCATATCTTTCTTCTTTTTTAAAAACAATTTCCGAAAGAATATAACATTGTCAAGACAAATTTCACTATTTCAACTCTATCAAATTCAGTCTTTAAAGATGTTTACCTAAAAAAAAGAATAAGAGGGAGTAAAAGACGCCCAATCAAAAAGCACAGTGAAGTGAAAAAAAAAGTATTTTTCCAATGGTTGAAACTTAAAATCATTCCTGTTTCATAGTAATTCTAACATAAGTAATGAGAACACAGAGTAATTTTTATTGGTTGTGTGTATCACCAAAATTTCACATATCCCATAGGATGCACGACATTCGGAGTTAAGGTTTTAGCTGCATTCTTAGAAGTAGATACTGTAAATGTAAAGATATGTTGTTGTTTTTTATATTAAACACATTTTACTTCAATGTCTACCAGTACATCTGCCGATTTTATTTAATATAGTTGAGAAATGTTATCTCTGCCATTTCTCTATCTCCTTCGCTGAAACATCAAAAAGTCAACCTTGGGTGAAACAGGTGAACGATTTTATGCTAACATGTAAAAATCACTAAGCGAGACAGGAAAGCAAAACTAAGAAATATTAGCTTACAAGACAATTTTCAATTCTAATACAAACGTAATTCAACCGCGATATAATGTTTATTTTCAATTAACTTTTGATTAAAACAATTTTATTATAAAATAAACATTTACAAGATAAACATTTTATTATAAGTTATTATTTATGTTACCTAGTATAAAGTTCCAATTTTTTGATCACAATTCGTACTTAAAAAATGTAAAATTACTTCTCTTCGTAAAATTACATACCCTGCTTTCCAAGTATACACAATTTTCAGGATTTCGCCCATCATAAAATAATCTTATAACAAAATACTACGCTTGAGCAATGACGAAAACCTCTTAAATACATACTTGCATTTCAATTGAATTACCCAGCACTTTTTTAAAATTAAAATTCAGTTCCTGGCATGCTGAATTTACAGTTTTATCCGAGACTTTGCTGTTTTACAGGCTTGAATATTTGCAGGGCGATATTTTATAAATCCTACACTTTGTAAAAAAATATGACGTATGACATGTGAACTGTACAAAACTTGGCAATTTGGGAGATTCAAGTACGGTGTGTTGCAGCACATAGTGACGTATAGTGTGAAACAGAAAACCATAACGGAGGTTCATCAGCATGTATTCAGCGGAGTTCGGAATACGGGAAGCACTGACTGTTCGTCAATATAAGGTCACAATTATACGGTTAGTAAAACAGTTAAAAAAATAAAGCATTTTAGATCAATGTAAAGTAACATTCGGGACGGCCAAGTATATATATATATATATGCACTTCCGAGCAAGCAGGAGGGGGGGGGGCGTGTGCATACCCTGCGAGATCTTCGACAGTTATCACAGGAGCTGCAACTGTCGTAAAGCGCCTTTCAGGTCTTTGTGCTCTTCCCAATAAAATTTAATTTGCACAACCACTGAGCGATGTTGTGAAGGAAAAGCACAAGCTTTTTTTCCCACGAAACAAGAATACGAAGACTTTAAACACAACATGGTTCTCCGACGAGGCTCATTGCGATATTGGGGCACCGGAGAACCAGCTTGTCCTCAATGGCCAACCATTTCACCCATGGCGTATTCCTTGCCACGACTGTTAAACCTGATTGTTACCTGAAATTACATAGCGAGGATACTGGGAAATCTATGACATGTCAATCGTTTCAACAGGGCGGAACGTGGCCATACACCGCAGATATTGTGCTGGATCTTCTTCGCGGAACCCTCAAATGCTATGTCCTTCCGAACAGGTGTGTGTGTGTGTGTGTGTGTGTGTGTGTGTGTATCCTAGGTCACAATGTTCAATGTTGTAAGCAATTAGTGTTCGGATACGTCACGTGGTGGAGAAGGACATCATTCAGAGTCAATTGAATCTCTCAAATGTGTAGCGAAATATTACTTGCCATACGTAATTGATTAAGAATAGAATATGTAGGACGTAAAAAAGTCACCTTGTAATAGGATACTCCGAGATGAAAATATTAGTTTCTAAACTATACTATTAAAAAAATTAATACACTACAAAAACAGAGATTAACTGGAAATGATCAAATTTGGAAACGTAAACTGTTTAACAAGACGAAAATGTTCTGCAAGATATGAAATTTAAGTCACAAATACTTTACATGGAAATAATAATTCATATTTATTTTCACCATCAGCGAATCGGTTACCATAAATATTATAGGAGTTTAGAATGTTTTATTAATTTATCTTTCAGAAGACATAGAACTTCACAGAAGAAAAAAGAAAACTACAAGTGTACATGCCTTTCTGCAGTAGCAAATTATACAATAAAAGTCTACAGAGCCATCTATAAAACTTGTAAGACAATGAACAGATTTTTTTATACTTTGATTATCAGGAAATATAATTATAATTATATAATTAAAAATACGATATCATTTTGTTCATTCTACGGACCTTGTCACCATAGCGATTAATATCGATATTCTGTCTCTGTCTGTTGAAACCTGAACCCTTAATAATATATACACACACACACAATATATATATGCTAATAAACAAAAATACATTTTAATAAATGTTATCATAACTACTACAACAAATATTTTATACATTGAAAATTAGGAAATGAAGAATTAAGAAAACTTTTGGGTATAAAAGTAAAACATTTCCTAAAATTACTCAATTCATTATTCAAATCAACAGATGACTACCACAAAATGTTATTCTAAATTCGTAGACCAGAAATTAAATTCTATCAAAAATAATACAATGCAATCAATTAAGTAAAAGGTTTCGAATTAGCTCAATAAAGACAACAAGACCACCACATTTTTTTTTTTTTTCTATATTCTAAGTATTGAAAATCATAACAAATTTACAACAAATATACTAATAGTCATAACAGATCGTGCCTTCCAGCTGATGAAAGTACACCGAGCTGTTCATGCGAGTTTGGATGCATCGGCTCTGGTTGTGGGTTTGATGTTCGGTATGTTCCCGATTCTACCCATAAGATAGGCTGTAAGGTGTTTTTTTGAGATAAATCTGCCAATTAAAACAATGGTTTCCCGCTGACCATATTTTGTGCACATGTGAGAGGAAGTTGCGTCCCACGCAACAAGAAGCTGACGATATCGTGACAACCGCTGCAGCAAGCATCAAGAGGGCTGAGGAGAACGTAAAACCCGGCCAAAAAAAATGCAATTGGATAAGCCAAACATACAAGTATTATCAACCACAGAATTGTCCACAGAAATCCACAGCCCATGTTTTGTTCCTTTTTTTACCAGACTTGATATTACCTAGGGTGAAAGAAAACAAAATTGTACAATTTTCATTTTCATACTAATTAGGACTTCAGTATCGAGTTAAACAACACACAAGCACCAACGAAATTGATCTTGTAGATTATGAATTTTCGTTTTATATTTATAATACATCTTCTTATGTTAAACTTGTCACCTCTGGTAAACAAAATTGAAAGTTATTTTCAGTATAACTTGGATCATTTCAATTCATTTTTTAAGTTTTTTTGTTTTTTCAGAGAACGAAACACACTTCAACGTTGCACTTAAAACCACAAATGCACTAAAAATGACTGACTTGTTTACACACAACCATTTTGTCACTTGCACGTTAGATACTAATAATATCTACAAATAATTCACACGAGATCATTTTTTCCAGATTTATATTGGACATGTGCTTGTGATGCTCTACTATCGGTGCGGGAGTGATCGTAGTTTTACATCTTTTAAACGTGAGCAGATACACATAAAACCATCTACCCTCGTAGTATAAGTATTACGAAAAGGTTATACGATAGCGTGTTATCATTTTGATAGATTAACCGTTGTTCGTTGTTTTTTTAACACAGACACAAACTTTGCAATACACCTACGTATTCATATTTGCAGAAGTGTGTGGTGTTTACAATTTAAAACTTTTGAAAAACAACTAACACAATTTTCACAAGTCTCATGTGAGCAAATTATTATTCGAAGCAATATAATATGAAATATCCAGGTATATATCACAAGTTTGTACGTTTTGACACTGTTTGTCGATTGAATAACCCACGTAGGTGATACACTGAATACACTTAGTTTTAAATGAATAACGGAAAATGAAGTATTCACTTTTCTTTTAGATTTTTAATTGTAACCATAATAATGTTTTGTGCATATTGTGCGATACTGTTTCTTTTAAGATCCCGGTCAGCGAGAAAACCACCCATGGGGCTGCCGTGCGCACTTTTTTAAAAAAGTATTAAAAATGAACGGGGAAAGTGCGCAATAGGTGCAAAATGGTATAAAAGGGCGAGAGCAACTTTGATAATTTATAAATCATTTCTGGTCTCGGAGAAATAGGCGAAAACGATCGGCTACCTCCCGACTTCCCAGAAAATCAAAGGAAAGATTCGGAATACTTTGATTTTAGTAAATATTAGTTATTTTGGTTCCAATAATGTTATTAATCAATTTCAATACATAATTAGTGAGAATAAACGTTTCTAGTTTTATTCTGGTATGTCTTCAATCTCAATGTCCAAATCTTGCAACGAAACATTCTCTTCAGCACACATTTCCATAAGAACATCTTGCTCTGCCTCTTCCTTCTCTTTTTTACTGGATCTTTTGCACTACTCCACGTCTACTTTGGGGGATAACATGGCAATGTTTTGCTGTACATATAGCTGGAGGATCACAATGTAAACCCATTTCACAGCTTTTACAGCTTCCTTTCTTTTTGTATATATGTTCTTCACATGTTCCTGGCCTTCTCTAACTTCGGTTATACTTGTGTCGCGTAAAAATGGAAAACTGATTTCGAAACAGCCGAATTTCTTTTTACATACGGCAGTGTTAACCGGTTTTTATGGTATTTTTCCGCGCAAAAAAAAAAAAAAAGATTATGAAATTTAAAATTTTTTCCGGCGAAAAAACTATAATTTTGGATGGGCTTCTGACCGACCTGGATCTCAAATATTTTCTCTAACCCATGACGTAAGCAATGTAGACGAACTTCACTATTTCTTGTATAGCCATACAACTTTGAACTTTATTTTAATTGATTTTTTTTTAATTATTGGTGTACAGCAATTATATCCTGTTGCGGTTGTAAAGCTAAACTTTTTAAAGTGAGAAGTACAAAAAGTTTAAACTATATTCTTCCCCAAATTTATCAGTAACTATATAGTTGTTACAAAAATTGATACAGATGTTTTATGTAACAAAACTGCAAAGAAACATGTAGAAAAGTATACGGTGTTTTTGTTTGTTTATTCGCGAAACAGCAAGTGCTGTATCCAAATAACCACTTTCGGTTAACGTTTAAAAAGGAAATAATCACTACAAGCGAGGGGGATAAAACTGTTACAAAATTTTACATTCATATGGATTCAAAGTTCTTACTTCCTTTTTTTATTTTAGTTTCTATACAAAATACAATAATGATAGATATTACCTATAAGCCAGCAATTACGAAAGTTACAGGTTTTAAATATTATTCAGCATCCACGTGCGTTTAAAATGAGATATTTGTGTGATAAGAATGTTTAATTTAAGAAACTTTGAATTTTACTGGACTGAATTGGTGCAAGTTTACTTTTCTTCTTATTATTATTTATTATTATTAGAGTAATTAAACTTGCGTCTGAAAGAGATTCTCCAGTTTACTGTAACAAGGACATTACATTCATTATTGAAGAGACTGGTGACATTGAAGAGATGTGACATTAACGCTTATGTCGATACACACAAATTATGTTTTTAAATTTCAGTTTCACTATTGCTAACTAAAAGTAATCATTTATAAATTTTAAAAAATTCTCATTTTATGCAGTGTGAAAATAACTTATTTATATGTTTTTTCAGTAGATAGCGAGACGAAGTATTCTGATATTTTGTTCTTTATTAACGAACTGTATTTATTCCTTCGTAAAAGTTTAAGGAGCCTGAATAAACTTTCCATGCATATTTGCGTTAAATCATTATTTGATTTCTTAGTTGCTGTTCTTATGCATATCTGAAATATACAGATACATTCTAAATCTCACACAATACAACATGTTGATTTGAGAATTGTTATAAATCTGGTATTGTAACTGTGAAAGCAGACTAATTATAATACAGAAAAATTTCATTTGTACTAATAATAAAACAGAGTATCATTCATAGGCCTAACACTTGTGATGAAAAATAAAGTATACTGTAGATTTTATTTTCCTTTTCCACATTCCTCTTAATTTGTACATTTCAGATTTATCTTTTGTCTCCCAGAAACTACTTGAAATTACTTATATCACAGTGAATTTCTGATATGCTATAAAATTACATAAGGGGCAGTAAGATGAGTAACATCAAATAATAAAGCTTACGGTTTGAACTTCGTAAACCGGCGAAATACTGAAAACCAACATAGGTCTGAAAATTCACACAAGTTTTTATCGGTTGTACAGAGTAAAACTTTCGTTATTTTATTCACAACGTTTCACCAGGTTTATCTGGCATCATCAGGAGGGGTACAAGAACTGAGGTTAAGATAATTTAATTTAAAAAAGAATCACGCGAGGATCTATAACAAGAGTAATTACAAGCATACGACTAATCAATTGCGAACAATAATGTAATTTATCAATGAAGTGCCAAATCTAGGTATAATAAATACAACTTTTAGGCCCGAGTCGAAGTATTGAAAGTCATTCTATGTACAAGATAGAAGGGAATTAAATTAGTTATAAACGAACACCTATGTATTTGTTAAGATTAGGTTAGTATATATATATATATATATATATATATATATATATATAATTAATAAGGCTTTTTTTAATTTTTCGTCTATTAATTGTCCTCTCTACTGAGGATTATTAGCCGAGAAGAATCAAAGAATGATTTTTCCTTGATACGTGTTCAAAAACATATGAAAATTTCAAATGTTCCCGCAAACGAGTAGAAAGTTATCCGTTTGTCTCACCAATATAACACCTTTTGCAATCTGTACATTCAATTGCATATACTTTTCCTGAAGTATCATTATCCATATATATTTTGGATAGCAGTTGACCTGGCATTTTTCCAGGTTAAACTGCAAGTTGTACTTTAAATGTCAATTTTATATTTTCCGACTGTTTTAACTAGATTTTTTATTGCACAAGTTTCGGCTCAATGATAAAATACAAGTGACAAGGACATATTCGGAAGAACCATTTTCTATGTTAATTTGTGTGAATTTTAAAAACAGTTATTTCTAATATTTAATTTAAGGTCTGAAAATTATTAAAAACAGGTTTCATTGCAGATGTTTTTGACCCACGTTCCTCTTAATTTGTCTATTTACATACCTCTGATTTCGAGCCACAATGGATAAATTATGAGAAACGTGATAAACTTGTTATTATAACAATAATAAAGCACAGTTTAATCAATTACTTTGGCAGAACTTTGATACGGAAAAATACAATACCAAACAATATATTTTAATTATTCAATACGCTACATTTCGGGCGAATTCTCTTCATCAGGTAAACGGAAGTAACCGTTAGAAGAAAATGAATTTGTAAATGCGGCCTCTACTCTGTCAAAATAAATATTAAAGTATTAAATTAAATGCAAATAA